GTTGCTATAGTAACTCGAGTACAGCGAGCGACGCTGCATCCTCGTCTGATTTGGAACGGTAACGTCATTTGTCTTCGAGAGGCGAACAGCACCGCCTTAAGCTAAGATGAACCAACGAAAACTCCCCCCACCCCACACCCCCTTCTCGGCCGCTGCCAGTATCAACGACTTACAACTGTATAACAAATCGTCTATAGTCTCTCTATACCCACACGTATTTGTCACCAGATACCTAATTTGATTGTTATAATTAATTACACATCAACGCTACGAAATTTTAACGGCGCCATGACACCCGCGACCGTCCTGCCACATTGAAAAATTTGCCAATTTATTTTGCACGTTACAGACTGAGGGCTAATCACAAAGGTGCAATTATATTCATACCTAAATGCTATTTAATCGAACGATATTCATTTTAGGACAAATTTATCCATAATATAACTGAACCTATATGTCGTTTATAAGATATTACAATCCTTTTGCTTTTAAATTAATAAATAAGAAACACCCTCGGTCTGTAGCCCTTGGCTGAAAAGTGGTTTTGCGCAAATTATCAGATCGTGCGCTTTGAGTGGCGCCACCGTCGTTGTAATCAAATTGTAGTCGTTAGTTTTAAAACATTTTTTAATAATATTTCTAATGGTGATTGAACCATGAAACTTTTTATGTAGCGTAATTTTATTCTAAATTAACTGAAAATAACCCTAGAACCTAGAGTAAATGATCCCTTTAAACTGCAGTCTTTTCGTAGAAAATGACGAAATTTCACTGCGCCTCATATTCATTCGCAATTATCAGACTTTCGTTTTACTGTCCTCACCGCAAATTACGAAAGACTATATAAAATACCAGGAATATTAATCACAATAAACGATGACACACAAGGGTGGTAGTGAGCTGGAAAGTGCTACCTATATAAATCATGTTACATGTCAGAGCACAGTGACAAACTGTGTGACATATGGTGTGGTATGGGGTTGCTATGCCCGTAGCACAATGACTACACACACACACACACGATCGAACTGCTCGACCTGAGCGATCACCCCATTTTCTGACCTTGTTTACTGCTTACTTGTTTACCATCTTAATTGTTTACTACTTACTTTTTTACGTGTTATCTTTTTGCTTGTTTGCTTGTTTACTGTCATTCTTGTTTACCATGTTACTTGTTTACTCCTTACTTTGTCTTCCTCCTTAATCTGTGTTACCCCACCTGGTTCGTTACTTACTTGCTTACCGTGCTACTCGTTTACTGTGTTAGTTGTTTACTTCTTAACTGTTTACTTGTTTACTGTGCTACTGTAGTACTTGTTTACTCTGCTACTGCAGTACGTGTTTACTTTGTTACCATGACACTTTTTTACTTTATCACCGCATTACTCACCGTACCCCAGCCACGAACCTCTGACCCCTCCGCCCGTACGCGCGACCGCTCCGACACCTTCGTGCGACCCCCTCCTTCCGTACGCGCGCCCCCTCTGCCGGCTCCCCCTGGCGTCTCACCTGATCTGTTCGAGTCCGGGTACATCGATGAACTCAGGCAGCAGCACGAAGGCTACGGGCGTGAGGAAGGCAAACGCTGCCAGCACCGCTGCCAACGACGTGCCGACGAACTGCGCGCAGCGGAACGCCCGCTCGCGATCGCCGCCGCCTGCGCCGCCGTCAAAGTCTCGCGACAGCTTCGAGATGTCCTCGAACGAGCCGCCGGCCTCCGACGTGTTGCCTGTGATGCACGTCGTGTTCTCCCCCCAGTTGTCATCCTGCGGTATGATCTGCACCTGCAGGCAAGGAGAGAAGGTTATTATTACTATTATTATTAGTAGTAGTATTA